CTTTCACAGGGTTGCAACTTTTCCTGTGTAGAGTCACGCCCTGTGGGTTTTTTTAAAAACTGTGTCGCTTGGCAGTGTTCTCGCACCAAAAGAAAAAGATATATTTGTATATAAAGTAACTTTTTTGTGTGTTCACGTTTTATTTTGGAAAAACAGGTGTTTAAAAATTTTAGAATTTTTTTAACAAAATTCTAAAAAGAAAAAAATCACAATATTTACAGAGATAACAGAATGGCTTAGCCATGCAAAACAAATTACTTTGGTTTTTCCCCCATTTTACTTTGGTTTAAATATTAACCAAGATTATAATTTTTTTCTTTTTGCCAAATAAAACAGTAACAAATCAAAGTTTAGAGGCATGTAACAGGATTTCCCTCCAATATTTTATACAGCATAGAGTTTATAGGACATCTGATGTATTTAATCCATGCCAATGCACTACAGGAAGCTTTTATTAAGACATCAGTCACTACTGCCCAGACATTTAACATTTTACAAATTTACAAGTAACAGTGTTTTCTTCCCTCTAAATAATGCAAAAGTGGCAAAATACATTTCCTCACGTCCATCTTTTTCTTTTTATTTATTCATTTATTTTTGCCTACCAGTCTATAAAAACTTACTTTTTCCCTGGATCTTTGTAAATGGAAACCTGATGTTCTGCTTACTCTACCGTTCCTCTCCATCAAAGCTTCCTGTTACTTTCTTCCAGAAAATAACCTTCCGCGTAAGATGAAACTTCTCTCCCTTGAGTACACCTTTCTATTGGCCATTTACCCTAAAACATTTTCTTATCAGTACCATTCTAAAAATTCCCTCACGCATAAAACATGTTTATAAAGTTACAAACTTGAATGTAACTAAAGATACATAGACGTTTCATTGTTACAATTATATGTACTGTTTGATAAATTAGGTACCAGTTAAAAACACTAAAATTATCTCAAGGTGCATTCAATATCTGTAGCATAGTTAACAAAAACACACAAAAAATATATATATATATTTTCTTTTTTTGTGGGAAAAAAAATGCAGCTTTGATATGACCACTTTTTAAAAAAAAGTTTCCAATTCGCACTGGTATCTTTTTGAAATGAAGAAAAGGTACTTAAAAGTACTTTAAGGCAGCGGATAACATAAAGGAATCAAAATTAATCCAGAATTCCAGTTCCTTATCCTAATTCTAACATGAAAGATGACTGATAATGTATCAGTAAAATGTGTGTCTTGCTTTAGAGGAACAGGATTATTAGCCACTGTCTGTACGTAGGCTAGGAATTTTTCATTGTGTTCCTTGCTCAATACCCAGCCTTCTCCGTGGAAACTCTTTATTCCCTTTGCGGCTGTCTAGCTTTGCATGGATTTTTAAATGTTCACTTTTATTAACAATTTAGTTTATTCTTGTCACAGCTGTCACCCTTCCTCTCTACCGTCATTTCAAAGAATGAAAAAGGAGCTTGACATTTTCCTTTAAGACAATCTTACACTCTAGGTACTTGCTACAAAGCAGAGGCTTCACTGATAACAATCAGAATTAGACATGTACCTGCTCAAAGGGTGTCATAAAAACAATTGAAATAAAACCATTACACTATACATCAGATTAACAGCAACTCCCAGAACAAAGCCTTACAGTGTATAAAAATAGCTACGTAAAAAATTTACATAAAGGCAAACAAAAAGAAATCTTCAGTGCAGACATTTACAAAAAAATATTTCAAACAGAACACAACATGGTGACCTATTATCATGGCTGTTGCCAAAATTAGTTTGTGGGGTTTTTTTCAGCTTGAGATAATTGTGTCTAAAATCCTTTGAAAACTTGGTAGTATGATCTGTTTAATACTTGAACCATGAATAGCTGTCACTTCTCTGTATATGTTTAAATACAATCCACGTTCATGCTTCAATTGGTCTATATGTATTCTCTGAAAATATGAAAGATAAAGCCAGTTAAACATTTTCAAATATGTCAACCAAAATAACTACTCAGTATCTAACCTTCAAATAAACAGCTACGTGAATAGTGCTTTCTTCTGCCATTCAATGATGAGAACACTTTCTTTCATGATAAGAATAGCTGTTGCAATATTGTTCCCGGTAAATCCAGTTAAGTTTATCTGGTAAGTAATGGATTTACGGATAAGCTTTTCTTTATGTAGATCTACTGATCTGAAGAAATAAAATAACTGGAGTAAAAGATTGCACTGAAGGCACACGATGTTATTTTAACTCCTATATTCAATAAATACCCGCAGCTAACTTCAGCTCCATCTAATCACCTCAATATTGCAATGTTGCGAAGGTACCAGGTCCAGAAAAAAAATACAAAGCAAGCCCTAACCAGGAAGACTACAGAGTTTTCCCACAGAATTGCAGTAGAAATGCTGGGTATTTACACTGCAACTTTTTCAAGATCCAAATTTATTTTCCATTTTTAAATCATTCATAGGGCATAATTTTGGTATTCCCAATTCCCTCTTTCAAACTAGTAAAACAGTAATAGTGCTAGCAAAGTGCATACAGCAAGACTCCATCTCTTTATATACTATATAATCATGCTACCTCGTGAATTCTGAATATTTAGTGCAAAAATAGTGCCTTGTACTTTAAAATTTCAGACAATACTAACATATTGAAATTATTAACAAGGAGAGCTGTCTTTAAATAAGAAACTTTTAAAATCATAGAATCATTAAGGTTGGAAAAGACCTCTAAGATCATCAAGTCCAACCGTTAACCCAACACCACCATGCCCACTAAACCATGTCCCTAAGCGCCTCATCTACACGTTTTTTAAATACTTCCAGGGATGGTGACTCCACCCCTTCCCTGGGCAGCCTGTTCCAAGGCCTGACCACTCTTTCAGTAAAGAAGTTTTTCCTAATGTCCAGTCTAAACCTCCCTCGGCGCAACTTGAGGCCATCTCCTCTCGTCCTATCGCTGGTTACTTGGGAGAAGAGACCAAGAGACCAACCCCCACCTCGCTACAACCTCCTTCCAGCTCAGGGGGCTGAGTGGCCTGAGGATAACTGCTCTGACTATTAAAAACTGGGGCAAAGAAGGCATTAAGTACCTCAGCCTTATCCTCGACTTCGGTGGCAACGTTCCCCCCCGCATCCCATAAGGATGGAGATTCTCCTTGGCTCTCCTTTTGTCATTAATATACTTGTAAAAACATTTTTTGTTGTCTCTCACGACGGTGGCCAGGTTGAGTTCCAGCTGGGCTTTTGCCTTTCTAATTTCCTCTCTGCACGACCTAGCGAGATCCCTGTACTCTTCTCGAGTTGCCTGCCCCTTCTCCCACAAGCGATAAACTCTCCTTTTTTTCCTGAGTCTCTGCCAGACCTGGGACAGAGCTGGACAATCTAAACATGAAATGTGGTAATTCCACTCACAGTGCACCACCACTGAACACTTGCTACTCTCATTTTTAAGAACAGTTGATGACTAACTCAAGAAACCTCAATATGGTTAGCTGGTTTCCACACTGTTGTGCTACCACAGTGTTAATTTAAAACGGCCTTAGTTGGTCAGAAAAATGGTCTAAACCCCTCCTTTGGGTACTAAGGGGAGAGATGCAGCAGTGGCACATATATATGCAGCAGTGGTGTATATATATGCGAACACCGGGTGGTGCTGTTGGTGCTTTGTAATGCTCCTGTAATTCCTAACAGAACTTCTGCATTTATCTAATTATTTGTATACAGTTTATTTCATACAGATCTCAGTTGGGGAAACTTTCATACCTGTTGCATTGTTACTAACTTAATATACAGTGTCTCTTTCCAGGATAAAATTGCTAACAGTATCAGTATGTGAAATGTTGAGTAAAAGAATGATTTTGTTCTAAGGAAAGTTTCATGCCTCTTGCAGTGATGATGAATAAAGCTGACTACAGACTTAGAAACTGTTGCTTCCACTAAGGGAAGAAGGTTCCTGTGAACATTTCAAGTCATAACTCAAAACCTTCTAAACTATACTTAAACATACTCTTCATATACATACATACACACACCCCCCCAACCCCAGTGATATATTATACAAATTTGTATTTTCATTTCCCCAAGTATGTGGATTAAAATAAAGTCAAGTACTAAGTTATGTCTAAATGTCAGGCTGCTTTAATATGTGCGTATGCAGGTATGAATTCTTAACTGGCCAGGGGCTTGAGTCTGTCCGTCCTAATACTACACCACTCAAAATCACTCCACTGCCTAACCTATGAAAGGTGAGCAACTGACTCCAAGCTATCACTGTGATCGCTAGACACAGATTCCTAGAGAGAAAGGGTGAACAAAGAATGTTAAACGCTCAATATGAAACGCTTACCTGGAATGATGACTGACACGTTTTGTCTCTTAAGTTTCAGATTTATGATTGTTTTCTTCTAGTTTTTTGTTTTCTTCTATATTTCCAAGATCTTTGTCTACATGTTTTGATGCTGTCCTATAATGAAAAATTAAGGTCATTTTTACGTGTCTACAGCACTTTGTTCCATCCTCACATTCATGACACTGCCTCCTCCTCTCTCAGTAATACATAAAATTCTTACAGTTCTGGTCTGAGCGGAGCAATAGGCTTGCATATGTCTGTAAATAGACCAACAGCACCAGATCCCCCACTGGAGTTAGTACCGCAGGAAGTATTGCGGTAGGGCTGTGTACGTGTGTTTTACTTCTTGAGGAATTCAGAATCGTTCGGAGCTAGCAGACATTTAGTAAGGTTAAACCAGTTGTGCAGATCTATGTTTCTTGACAAATTAATTGTGTAGCTTGTTTCAATAAACAAGAGTTTGCTTTAAGGCATACTAAAACATTGCAAGTGTGCCTAAGATATCTTGATCAACATAGCAATCTTTTGTGTACTTGTAGTAATTGACTTTCAGAGCCCGTGCCAAACGGAAACTCTTTAACTGTAAAGAAATTAATGAAAATTCCGGCAACACTGAAAAAACCCACTCTGGCTTCCAGATCTGTGCTGGCTACGACTGACAAGCTTGGGTAAAGAAGAGATTGTGTACATGTTTGGGGGGCGGGGAAAAAGAGGTATGCCTCATTTAAAATAGCAGGTCTTCCTTAAGGCAAGTAGTGGAGATGAATTAATGAGTTAAGTGCTTAGTTTAGCTTAGCACAATAAAACCACTAAGCCGTTCATTTAATGTGTGAGAAGCCTCACTGTCTGCCAAGGTGAAAGATTCCTGCAGTGCTGCGATAACGTTTTGAAGGCCGCAATTTTTAAAATGTAAATGGGCAAATGTGTTTGAGTGGGACAAAGCGAATCCCTTGTGTCAAAGCAGATACTGTATACTTATTTTCTCTATGGATAATTTGTTTCCCCTTACAGAAAAGTAACGTCTGTTGTGACAGATTCATGCATATGCTCACCCTTGCTTCAGGGTAAAGACCCGTAGTGATACCGACTTGCAAAATACAATGAAGACACAGGTTAGCAAGATAGTGTGACATGTCACGCTGACACCATGCAGGTATGTACCTCCCAAACCCGCTGATCTAAACACTTGCTAGTGGAGTGTTTCTGTGCACATCCTCCATCTGAGCAAAGGCCGCTAGCAGTGGCTCAGCACTATGCGTGCCCTGAGTTGAAGCAGCCTTCAACGGTACTGCTAAGAGAGTACAGTTTAGTCCTTGTCTCAGAAGAGCTTCTGATGGGGTGCAAGCACACCTAACCCTCCACGCCTCTGGGAGCCCTGCTGAAATGCTGCTCTCGGGGCTGGGGAGCAGCGTGTGCGGTGGAGTGCCGGGGGGCATGGGATTCTGGGCCCAAAATCCCACCGATTACGCTGAATGGGACCATTCTAAAATCTTTTCGGTTTTAGAGTAGGTTATTTCCTGAGTACCTCTAAGTTTTAATGCTTCAAAGCTGCATTTACCTTTTACTGTTGGGTTTAGAGTGCTTCTGTTATGTCTGTGTGGCTGACAGCAAGGTGTCTGTGCTGAAAACCCACTTACTGCAAAGATCCAAACTTCTGCTTATTGCAGGCAAATTTAATTTTTAAAATGCTGAGATTATATCACAAAGTAACTTGTTCTACAGGGGTAAATTTCTATTGTGCAGCAACCTTCTTCCGGTATTCAAAACCTGAAACACGTGATGTGCACAGCAGGAAAGGATGTAGGATGCAATGAAGAAGAAAATTCAATGCTTTGGTAGAGATTGACCTTCTGTGATCTTAATAATCTTTCACAAACCTCTTTAAGCCTAGTAAAAAAGAAACAAACCCTCAAACAAACACATCCCTTAAAAATTAAAAAACTTCTTTTTTTTCCAATTAAAAATATGTTTGTTTTAGGTTGAGCACAGGATTTGGCTTGTCACGTGGCTAATAAGCCTTTTCCATAAATAAGTCTTACAAAATTGGAGACAGTAGGGAAAAAGAATCTGGACTCGGGCAATTACCTGAGCTGAAATGAGTCGGAGGCGAGAAAGAAGTATCACGCACATCTGCCCTCGTGTAACCGCTTATGTCTGCTCTCGGAGACAAGAGAGTGGACTGGATAGACTATTGGCATGGCTCAGTGTGGGCCTTTTTTTTTTGGCCTCTTATCAAGAGTTTTACAGTGCCCAAAGCAGACTGAATTTCACATGGCCTGACACTTAACAGCAGAGAGAACTGTAACTAGTATTACTGGTCCTTGATGAGGTTAAAATTGTTTAGTGACTAAACCTGGGAGGTTCTGCAATGCGATCAGGTTTTGATTTTTAAAGTGTTCTATTTTAGTTCTGCATTCAATGAAACTGTTCCCCTCACAAAATGTCACCTCTATTTTCCTAAAGCCAGAATGGGTGAAAATGGGAGATTTAAAAGGCAGGCAATCCAGAACTCTTTTGGAGGACAGAATATACCACTTGCTTGAAATGAAAGCAGCAGCAGTTTTTCATGTCTGACACTCAGATGGATTTAGATTCTCAGTGCCTGAGACTGGAATACAGCAGTTTAATTCTGGTGGTTTGGTGATCTTGCTGACTTTTTTTTCCTTTTTTTTTTTCTTTTTTTTTTTTTTCTTTTCTTGTTCCCCGAATACTGATACCTAGCAGATTCACCACCTCGGCACAAGCAATACTGCTGCCTTTTTTAGTACTATCTAAATAGCATTATTAAGAGACAGAAGAGTAATGTTGCACTGAGTTGCAGCAGTGGGATCCATTGGCAGTGCTCTGCCAACAGCAGAGGAACACGCGACCCTGGCATGGCACCAATCCTCGGGGCTTGACAGACGTGGCTGGGGTTTGTAACAGAGAAATGGCTCAAACCATGGTTTCTATCACTTCCTGAGGTGACTTGAGGCACCGGACAAATGGTCCTTTGCCAGCTGAACATTCCACAACAGTTGTTCCTTACTATTTTTGTGCATTAACTACTGTCAGCTTGCTCGATTTGCAACTCAAGAGCGACTTCCTGATGCTGTCTGAGCAGCTGGGAAATGTGGTCCGGATGGATGGAAATATTCCAGAGGATTTGCTGGAAAGGGCAAGACAGCCCACTTGCCCAGGCCGTCTCACACACTTTCACATGATCTACAGCTCCACAACAAAGCCCACACCTTAGCATGCTCTGGCCATATTGTTCTGAAGAATGAGAAGTGGGTTGTATGAATACGAGTTTACTTATGTCTCTCAACCGTTTTTTTTAAATCCATTTGTAAAACATGGATCATTCTGAGCTCTTGCTAAAATTATGACTCGTATTTTACATTTATCTATGCTTGCTCTTCAGGAAAATAATTATCCTCAGGGAATCCTAATCAAAGTCACTCTGTAAGTAGTACCAAAGTGAGGTTTTTAGTTTTCTTCGAAGTGTATGCGTGTGCTGAGGGGCCGTTAGTTTCATGGATTTTGTTTAGATACTGTTCATAGCATTGTTTTTAATATAAAGACCATTTTCCATCTCAATTGTTTTGCCTGCTGTAGAGTAAATATAGACTGCATACAGAGTCATATAGACTGCATTTGAGTCATATAGATGACTCAAAAATCATTGTTGGATTTTAATTCCTGATTTCTTTTAATCTCACAAGTCTAGGCCTCACCCTCAATACCGTTTAAGGAAGAAAATCTGCAGTGCTCTTTGTCCTTGTTACCCAAGCCTGCAATAATGACAGGTAAGAGAATACTCGTAGCTGTAGTTCTGGGTGCTGAAGCAAGAGCCATGGATTTCATAAAGCTTGCATTACTTTTGAAAGGCATGTTAGACACTCAACTGCACTGTTGCAAAAGATTTTCTAGGAACTAACGGTCTTACACATCCAAAACTGGATTATTTGCAACCTCTTTCTATTTACCCCAATCTTGCCTTCCACTAATTATTTTCAAACGTCCATCAGTAGGAAAAAAGGCAGAGATACTAGAAAAATATTCCAGTCATCAAGAAACGAGTGACCACTTTTTAATTTGTGCTACTTTTATAGAAGTTTTGTGACATGAACTGACACTTTCAGAGATGTTTGTAACTTTGTCTTTTCTCTGGAAGGAAATTGCACTAAAAACAATAAAAATCCTGAGTCTTGTTCAAAACATACAGCAAGTTTCCTATGTATTTGGCTAGCTACGTTTGGATTCATATGCTAGTTTCCTATAAAGTATCAGAAAAGCAGAATTGTTATGCTTCAAGTGTTCAGTTTCAGAGAGACTAGTAATATTCTTGACTACTCTGACCTAAGAATTTCAAGAGTTTGGTGTGCTCTGAGTATGAACAATCCTCAGACTGCTGCTGTGCTTCAGTTTACCCAGTTGAATTTTCCCTCACTGCATTTTAAACCACTTTAACCTTGATCTAGCCTCATGTGACTTGAGATTTGTGCACCTCCAAACCCAAGGAGCAAAAATGGGACAAAGGTCCAACCCACACCCAAACCTTCCATGCCTAGAGAACAGGGATACAGGGTGCTGGGTGCATTATTTTCTTTTTAAACCTTTAATTTGTGCTGTACTCTCTGGTGTTTCTGGAACGGTGGAAATTCCATATATGAAGGATTTACTGAAGATGGGTGTCCTAGAATCACTTGACTGAGATCTGACACAAAAATTTTAGAAAGATTCTGATGTGCTAAGTTATATACTGTTTGGTGCAAATTAGTTTAAAATATCCTTTTTGGAAAAAGGAGAAATCTGCAGAAAACAAGTCTTTGGCCTTCTGCTCAGATGAAGGAGAAACATAGCATGCTGGGGTAGGTAGCCTCAACTCTTTATTCAAGAGGGGGCTGGTTGCAGGATGTGGAATACAGATGAGCCCCTGATTTATGGGATAATATTCATAGTGAAAAGAATATGTGGCAATAATCAGCTTTTGCATCAAGTGGAGCTGAGGCAGTGAGTAACTATATAAGTGATTTATTATGAATATATTCCAAGGCTACGAGTATAATTCCTACTTAGTGTGGATGACAAGACAATAGAAGATTATACAAACCACAACACCAATAATGAAAAAAAGTAATGTTTTTCTTGCCTCGGCAGACTTGGAAAGTTCTGTGCTGCTGCCTTCTCAGACTTTCCTTTGGCGTCACTTTGGGGATAGAGATTAGGTGAGTTACTGTTCAAGGGTGGGTTCAAAAAATAACTACTAACACTGTTGGCCTGTATGGAGATGGAGGGGTTGTGATTAGACACACATTGTGTCTAAAGGTGTAAGGTGCTTTTTGCAAGGTCTACTTTGATTTCTAGGCTATAATTCGTGCTGAAACCTTTGTCAGACTAGGTACTGACACTCTGCTTGCTCTTGCAAGTATGGCATGCAGAAAGCAGGGAGGATAACAACAGATCAACTTAAATGTATGCTGAGAACAGGAGATTGTCAGTGATAATGCATCAATTAAGGGTTTCAGAGGCCAGCAACCATGTATCAAATATGAAGACTATTATTTAACTATAAAGGGATTTTTATTTTGTTCCCAGTGAACCTGTCTAGTCAATTCTAGCTCTAATTTTTACTCTAAGCTTGTAGAAGAGAAGTTAAGCATGAGGAAAAGAAGTGTTGTCCATTTAGAATACGCTGTATCCTATCTTTGAAGCTAAAAAAGTTATCTTAAGTCATAAACTCATGTCAGCAAAGGACATGCTATATTCTAAGACTCTTGTTAGTTCTCCCCACATACATAATGGACCAAGAAAAGATACATCACCTTCTCTGCCCTCCTTATACCCAAACCACCTCTTCCAAAAAAAACCAAACCAGTGAATCAGAGTTTCATGATTCCACATTCTCACATTCAAAAGGAAAGACAAAAGAAAATTATTCTAGATATTATTACACGAGTAGCAAAGTGTGGGAGGAGAAGCTCAATGCCATTAGTACTTTTTAATTTCTACCAAAAGAAGCATAAGCTTTGCAAAAAATACTTTTTTTTCCTGTATAATATCTGAATGTGGTTCTGTGCTTGGGTCATTTATAGCAATTCTTTATTTGAAAAACTTCCAAAACCTGCTCAGTTATGGCTGGAGTAAAATCCTTACATATTATCCAAAAAAGAGTATTTGCAAGCAGATGGAGAATTCCTTCTTGTATTTTCACATCAATGAAAACACAATGAAAACATTCATAGTAAAATCCCACTGGTGTATTTTAGATCTCATTTGATCTAACTTTAATGAAAGGTCATAGAAAGAACAACTGAACTTTAAGATTGCTTCTATACCTGCACCCATTTGTGCATGTTATGCATAACTACCTTAATCTTTCCTGTTAAGAAGCAGCTGTAAGGAACCCTTCAGAGAGCAAGCCTGCCCTCAGTTTTCCCGGGAGACAAATGCATGGGGATAAGGCTAAATGGCATAGAGTCATGGCCATCTTTAAAAGGATGGAGAAACGTGGTTACCTTTTGAGATTGTCCAGTTTATTTTCTAAAGTGAGCCTGTGTCATAATAAAGAAACTTGAAAGCAAGCAGGACTCACTGGCAAATCCTGTTCTATGCCTAGGATGGCTAAAATGTATTGATCTAGTTTTTCAGCAACGCAAGGTCTATCTTTACCAATTTTACTTCAGAAATCTCAAAGTATATATGAACAAATGAATTAAGGATCTCTCTTCTCCCTGAGATGGTTTAGACTTATTCTGTAATTTATTCCATTTTTAAAGCAAACGAGCTACCCAACTTCTAAATGAAGACAGTTTCTAGTACCAGTAAAGCCACACAGAGGTAACATCCCACAATTAAGTAGCAGGTACTATATTTAAATGCAAGAATCAGCACAGACTTGGCTGTCAGGAAACAGAACCTCATTACAGGTGACGATCTATGAAAAGTCTTGGAGTCCCACCTTCAGGAGATGCGTCTGTGAAGCATTAGCACAAGCTGATCGGACCTACCAGGTTTCCTTTCTCTATTAAATGCACCTACTGTAACAACTTTTCCCCACTCAGACTACTGGAATGCTGCAGGAAGGAAAACAGGTAAACATACATTTCCGCTTATGATTTTTTTTTTTTTTCAATTTAGTATCAAGTTTTCCATAAATTCTTACTTTGATTTCTTCACATAGAGCCAGTAGACAACACCTGCAACGAGAGCAGCCAGCAGAAGACCGACTACAATCCCCACTATTAGCTTTGCCTGGTCATTAACCTTTTCGCTATTGTCATCTGAAGCAAAGAACAGAAGTTAATGAGGTGACCTATGATAAAGTAAAGCATTACACTATTTCTAAAGAATTTCCATCAGAAACAAGAAAAGGGGTCAGAAAGTAAAAATTTTTAAAAAGTAGGCATTGTTCTTAAAAATACATTTAAAGCTTCAAGAAAGTCACATTCTTAGTCAATCATGGCACTAGTTATTTCAAATCAAGTCCAGCTTTGAAGGACTGTGAAAATTGTTCAGTGACACTACATAGGTTCTTGAACTGAGACAATCAACAAAAAGGGTTATGGAGATAGAAAACCATACATACCATTTCTATCCTCTGGCTCATCGTATTCTGGAATACTTACTGAAATGAAAAAATGTTAAAATTCAATTAAAGACAAGATGTGTTACACCTGAACATCACCTTTAATTGCCTATTTACAGCAATGACAGAAACACTGAAACTTAATTCAGTGTTTGCCAAATAATAAGGTAATTAATCTTCTCTTTAAGCAGAAGTCTTTCCTTTGTAACTATAATATCTCCAATTGAAGAATCTTAATCAAAGCCTGTAATATTAATCTCAGAAATATTTCTGACTGAGTATTTCTGTGCTACCCTTCCACAAACTGTAGCTTCTCACCACCTTTCATCATTGAAAAGTGACATTTGATTAAAGCCCAGTATGGCTGATTTGTGTTCTGAACCAAGTCATACTAGTAATACTAAACTGGAATTTGGGGACTAAAAGATTATATTAATTTAGTAACAAATAAATACTTCATCTTTGTAAATAACGTATTATTTTGCAATATTTTTGAACTACTATGTTGTAATATTATTTTGTAATATTTTTTACAAAAGTAAATAATATATTACATACATGAGATAGCTAGCCAAGAAAGTCAGGAAGACTAAGGGACTTCGTCCAGAAAGCTATCAATAAATTTTATATACACTACTGATCCAGACTGGATTTACAATTGCTTGACTTAAGACAAAAAGGTTAAATGTCTTAGTATGAACATTACTATGCAGACCTACTCTTCATACGAGTGTGAAATGTGGGTACTTTATGTGAAACAACAACTTTAAGGAAAGGGTCTTTAGAAGACACTCACTAGCAGAGACGTTCAGGGAGGTCACAGTCCTTTCTAGCTGATTTTCTGCAATGCAAGTTAAAGTCACATTTTCCTCGGGAGCAATTACAATTTTACTGGAGAATTTTCCATTAACATATTTGGTCTCCTCTGTCTGAAAAGGTAAAAAATGAAGATTAGTATCCTTAAAAAATGCAAAGAACAATACATGCGTTACCTGTATTACACACTGAAAACGTTCAGAGAGAAATAACTTTCAACTAACATTTCAGTTTTCCAATAGAAATAATGCATTATTTTATTAAATGGTAATGTGAATATTTGCAAGAAAACACTTTGGCCAAGATATCCAGTTATATCTACATTTTGTATAGTGTACTAAGTGTAAAGACGCATTTTTGAGAAAGTTCACCACATTCTGTATTTGCTTTTGTTTCTTTCAACTATTTAAAAAATATTCCAAGTGACAAAATTCTTAAAGAAAACCCAAAACCAAACTTCTAAGTTCTCATTTCTTTCCATCTTGCCGTTTTTCATTTATGTCTTTATAAGGAAAATAATCACTGTAAGTTTTCCACTTTCTGGCATCCCAAGTTGTTTCCACAGTAAGCATTATTTTGCAAAGCTACATGTATTTAGTAGTACCTGCAGTATCTGTACTGTAAGAGTGAGTGAAGTTGTTCCTTAAATTTGCTGTACATCATTCTTAGATTAATACAATGTCCAGAGAAAATTATTTTCAAACATTTATATAGCTTCAAGACAATTCCTGCCCTATAACTTCAAGTAAATGGACAAATTTTGACAGCTATACATAATTTCTGTAGGATTAAAGCAAAACCTAATGGACTAATGAAATCTACAGGACCACTGTGCATTGTACTTCCAGTCTCTGACTGCTTGTATAGATGTCTCATTTATTTTCCCTGCTAAGGCAAAATGTGGCAACGCTTCGCATGTGATTTGGTAATCAATATAAAATACTTTAGTTTGTTTATTTTCCAGGTATTCTTCCTGCTGCGTATGGGTACTCCTTATTTCTCCCCCAGGATGACTGCATTATGGTTCTGTTTCCAGTGACAAACAAGTATAATCATACAAAAACAACTATAAAAATTAGGATAAAAACTGCAAAGCCCACAAGGAACTATATTGACTGTATTTTCTGACCTGTACTTGCCACATCTCACACTACCCAGATAAAATGACTAAGTACTCTCACTTAGAAATACATATTTCATTCGTAACCTTTTCTTTTTCCTTCCAGCTTTGTAGCCAGCGGATCTTCTGTGCCTTCACCTGCTGTATTCAAAAGACCTTTAACATCAGAAATCATCCATGTAAGTACCATGTAGCTACAGCTACCACTTAACTTTCTCTTAGATAAATGAAATAGCCTTAGTTTTTTCAATCTCACTGTCTGGAAAATGTTCCTCGATTTTAAATTGCATCTCCCATGCACTATCTTTTGGTGCATAAAGTAGTAAGAAAGATACTTGCTTTATTTATGATGCTTCCACTACCAGTAACTGTCCATTGCACTGCTGGTTTGGGGAAACCTTCCACATGGCAGACAATTGTTTTAGACATTTTATTTGTGTTGGTTTTCTTTGTCATTCTGATTTGAGGTTTTCCTACAAGAACAACGTTACAGTTAACCATTTTGTTTGAAAAGGACAATTAATAATCATAGCTATCTGCTCCCTTACCTTCCACAATAAGTTTAAGTGTCTTTCTTTTCTTTAACCCTTCTACCTCCTGTAGAGTAGTTTCGCAGATGTAGTTTCCAGCATCTTGATACTGAAGACTTGAAAATGATGGACTTGTTTGCATTCTGGTATTGTCCTGATAAAGTAAGGAGTTAATCTCTGAATTCTAACTCAGAATACATTAACCTCTAAATTACAAATGTGACTACTATCAACAGAGTTTTTCACATGCTTTGGTAGATTAGAGCCTCATTCTTAAAGTGTTCCCCCATTAATAACTGTATTTGAATAGCTGACAGCAACATAACAGCATGAAAAGTGGAAACTGCTGGAGGTTTATAAAAGCCACCTCCTTTCTTCTTGAACAACTTTGCTTTCAAATCAAGGTAATAGATGTGATCGATTGTTAGTTATGAGCTTTCCTAGTGGGCTAGACAAAAACACAAGTGGTACAAACGGTTTGAGACACAGACAACTCTCCTTTAGGAACCATGAGATCAACACATGCTACTAAACAACCATCAGGTATCATTATTTTTAGTTTCCAGCAGTATAGGTTTAAGTTAAACCCACCATCTCTGACAGCTACCTTTTTCACCAGCCACTGAGCACCAGCTGCTAACATTCAGTCTCTCAACCTGCCCTGTCCTTTTATTATGTTTATTGGAACCAAGACCAAGCTTGCCTCTGAGAAAATCATTAATGAATCCAAATTCCTCCAAATGGGCTTTCCTTTTTAGAGGGATCTGATTCTCAAAGGGCCTTGTATAGACCATTTCAAAAAAGTTGTATTTGTTTTGCAGTAGGCATTACTTCTCTCCATTTGAAAACTGAGCCGATAATTACAGTAACTGATTTTCAGTCATCAACTTGGGTCAGTAGCTCTCCTTTTAGCAATATGTGAAAGACTCATTTTAACAATATTCTTTCGAAAGCCCAATGAATGAATGAATGACTTCCTTCCAAAACACTGAAGTAGCAGCAGTAATATGAAGAGGTGAACACTCAGACGAAGCATGAAGCAGATGAATTACTGACCTTTATCCAAAACACAGTTGCATTTCTACTCGAAGAAATCGTGCATGACACAGGCAGGGCCTCTCCAATCTGTTTTGTGACCTCTCCGCTAGGAGTAAGCTGCAAATCCAAATCTGGGATAGAAAGAACATTTGACAAAAGTTCATCTCAGAATGCCTGGCCCATTTCAAAGGCTTACCAAGGAAAGAAAATGTGACTAATTGCAAGCATTAAATTCAAGATTTCAGTTCTTCAATAAAATCTAAATCAATTTTACAAGTAAGGGAGAAGAAAGAATTATTCTAAAATAGGCACTGCAGAACATTCACGTTTTTACTGTAATTACAGGATAAAAGGAAGAGCAAAACCACACTAATCACTAGACAAATGGATACTTTTTTTTTTACCTTGTACTGCTGAAAGAATGACAGAGGAGGCACAAGAAGCTGAAGGAGTACTTCACAGAGCAGTATGTGCATCTTGAAAGGGGAAGCACAGACTGCTGTGAGGGTAGCTTGCTATGGGCCAGGTAGGAATGTGTCTTCAGGGGAGGACTTGTGTAGGTGGGGACAGATTTACCTAAACAGTAACTGTGCATAGGCGGGTAGAAGGATAAGGGGTAACTTTCTCAAATCTGATAAAACTAGTTGATTTTTATCAGATCATAAATGATCTGAGACATGATACTGATTGAAGGGGTGACGGGTCTGAATTATAGGGTTGGGGGGCCACATATGAGGCCCTTTGATTTATTTGTTTTCATTTGTAACTTAAAAAGCCATTTTTGTGTAACTCTGAGGCAAAGCTTTGCCTAACCTCTGTTTTGGCTCCAGAGAAACTGCAGAGTCGGTGATAGCTTCATACAAGGCGGGGTGAGAGCCAGTAACAGAAAGGTCAGGAAACACTGCTCTAGATTTTTCCTGGTGTATGGATTTGGCAGGTTAGCAATTTCTTTTTCAAAAAAAAAAAAAAAAAAAATCCTGCACTGAAAGAAAAGCAGCGTTTGCCAAGCTAAACCTCTATTTTGCTTCCCCTCTTACAGTGCCTTGCTTGCAAGCCAAGTTGCCTGGTTGAATGACTATTACAGATGCACACACACATACAGACACACACAGGCTCAAATGGAAAGCCCACATCATTTCATCACAAATAGAGTACTTGCTGGAAAAGGACTGCAAAACATCCTTTTGGCTTTTAAGCAGAGTTTAAAAAAAGCTTAAGGCAAAATCACAGTTGGTAAGGGAAAGCGAAAATATTGAGTTTTCCTTAACAAAACAGTGAACTTAGCTACTGACTTTATTCAGTGGTTGCCCTGGGAACACCATTATAATTAAAGGCAGAACTTCAGGGAACAACTAGGGTCCATCCTGTACTATTAGTCTGCATTATTATCTGTGTTACGAGTCTAATGCCCAGTCCGAGAGGTTGTAAGAACTGTACTTTCATCTGTGCATGAGTAAAGCAAAGATCTTACTGAAGAGATAAAATAGCATTTTGTTTCTGTATTCCTACGGGGATTTCTCCCCTTGCCTCCCAAACTAGTAAATGCAACCCAACTAACAAGGTACTCCAGATCTTACCATTGCTTCCACAAGGAAAAAAAAAAGAAGGAAAAAAAAAAGACTCAGCCAGTGAGCATTTTTATATAGATTCTTCATGGGATGTGTTTCTTCTTGCTCTGTTACTCCTGACCACATACTACTGAGGCAGAGGTGGTTGAAGAAAAAGGCTAAGACTCCACCCCCCACCCCGTTCAGGGTGACTTTCCTTCAACATCTACTTAAACCTTTTGTTCTTTGAAGCAAGATAGCACCTCAAACCCAAGAGATCACCGAAGACCATACAGGAGGGATTCCTCTCACATACGCCACAGGAAGCAGAAACTCATTAAATTTTTGGCCTTCACTTCAAGCAATACTGACACTGAGCCCAGAGCAATCCTTCAATCCAGTCTTCCTCCAGAGTAGCATGCCTGCACCCCCCCGCCCCTCCCCTTTTTGTGGTATAACTGAAACCCCTCACACAGTGGTCTTGGTTGCTATAGTTCAGGAAAATTTACAGTGTGCAAGATGAACTGCATAGCTCAGAGCAGTATTTGTAAGGTGATTTATAAGGCAAGTACAGAATTAAGCTACTGTTTAACATAGGATCTCCTCTACGAACTCTATATAGAGCAATTTGATTTGGATTAATATTCTGCCAGTTTATCTGTAGAGTCCACAAAGAATTGTGATGTAGATACTTTTACCTCTCAACTTACATGGTCCATTAGTAAATAATCTCTTCTTGGTACAGAAATATAAGGAGAAAATATTTCTTGCGTACAGAAGACTGTCAAAATTCATTTTCCTTGCCGTTGAAAGAAAAACTTTGTTGCAAGAATTTTCCATACATTTCCCATTTGGCTTTGAAATGTTCTTCATAAACAAACTTCTCATCAGGTACCATTTTCAATATATGCCAGCTCTTAATGTGGTCTCACTTGAAGTCTTGCATTGATTTCAGTGCTGTCTTTGCATGCCAAGTAGCACAGGGAAGAGGCAAAGAATGCCTGTATTCTGCCTGTTTTACCACATCATGTGAGAGAGGTATAGAATTAACGTGGGGAAGACTGGAGCAAACATTTCAGTTTTGAAACTCTATTGCACATATAGGACCGGCTCCCAGCATTTAAAAGAGGCCTCCGACGGAATACTGTGCTACGACTGGGAAAACTATGCACAGTGCTTGCCTGTAGTCTGAACTCCCCAAATATAGTAGCAGACAATCAGAAACTTTTCCTAGTATACTGAGAATAGATTTTTTCCATGCAACATTCAAAAGGTGATTTCCCCTGTATTTTCAGTGAGTCTGTAGCACAAGAAAAGACTATTAAAAATACCTACGGAGAAACACAAATACTAAATTTGTAAAACCTTTAATTTATTGGAAGGTTTGCAAACCTATTTCCCCAGAAAACACATTTTAGCAGAAAGGAAAGCATCACTAACAGGAAGTTCCACAGCCCTACTCCACACCAGGTTGTACATGCAGAAACAATTATAGCAAGAGATAAAGAAAAGGGACTGTGGGTTGCAACAGTCACCTGCTTCTTCACAGCTGAGGGAAGGTACACCAGTCCTCTACTGCTAGGTGCTTTCCTTGCCTCGCACAGGGTGTGCTTCTATAGCAGTTTAAGTGGTGGTAAACAGGTTTTGCCCCTGCCCCCTCCCTTTTTCTTCCTGGCCTCTGCCAGTTTTGCTCACCTGATCCTGGGCAAGCTCACTCAAGGCACAGAGCTGGCAGAAAATTAACAACCTAGTGTAAAAAAATCAAACCTACAACAGAAATCCTGTTCTGTTGCTCCCTCCGTTGAAGGACAGATCACACCAACTGCAAGCACTCAGTTCTGCCGGACTTCAAACTGGGACCTTGCTACACAGATCCTGCACCTGCTCTGAGGGGCAAGAGCCCAGGTTGTCAAGTTTGTCCCTTATGTTCTGTGGATAAGGAAGAGACTCTTCCTTCCCCCCTCAATTTGCTTTATAAATAAAGTATTTCCCTAAACATTATGGGTAACTCAGATGCTTTAATGTCAATTTTCAGCTTTCAGCAATTCTTTCATAATTCACATTAATCTTGGAAAAAACGAGCTTGGTATTGAGCCATAATATTTTGCTACAAAAATATTTAAGGGCTATAATGTGCTAATGTATTTTCATATCAGCAAGAAGCTTTCCCTCCCTAGACACTGAAAGAAATTAGTGTAATTATGATGCTCAATAAAATCTGTTTATGAAAAAGCACTACAGTTGAAATATAACAAATTACTATAAATAGCTTCACAGATTTAAACTAAAATTATTACATTGCCCGGTTTTTGTTGTGGTGTGTTTTTTTTGTTAAGTGAAAATAAAAAAATCTAAAGTGCTAAGATCGGATGTGAGGAAATGAAAAGCCCTGACTCAGAATGAAGGCTTTTTCAGTGCAACAGCATAGACAGGTTGTCCTGGTTTCGGCTGGGATA